CGGCATCTCTGAGTTGCTGCATCAGTTATGAACGTAAACAAAATGGCTTGACCCCCGGCACCTCTTTCATTACAAATTAAGCACTAGCCATAATCCCACAAGGATGTATGGGGAATGCCGTACCAGAGACAATGGCTGTTTTTTCAAACCCAAAGCTGCGTGAAAATTAGTCATTTAATAAAAATACCCTCACTGACCTTTGTTATATCGACTTATCCATAGCTTTCTGCCCAGTGCTTGCAGTATAACCATCATCTCCCAAGGCAAGGCACAGAGCATTAAACACACTATGTTAGTGATCGTTAACACAGCAGACCCGGTGAAGCAGACCTCTAAGCAGTGTGCAAACAAAAGGCCCAGCAAAGATTCAAACCTTCTTAACATCTGCTGTCAGGAACGTTGCCTCCCAGGCAACATTTGAAAAGCTTACTCTTGTGACATGCCTGCCACCTCCCCATCTGCACATGCTTTGATATAGCCATTCAGATGGCTCCAGTGCGGAAAACCCCCTTGGCTTCTCCAGTTCCCGGCTCACACCCCCTAGAACACTCCTTTCCCACAGTGGTTTCTCTTCGCACCTGAATACATACCCAAGTGATCGTTAACAAATCTCGATATTGGTAAAGACTGTGGGTCAGAAACCTCAGGGATTAGCCCTATCGGTTCTTTTTAGATCTGATGAATCCCTTGTATTGACTGTGGACAACAGCTTCCAATGAAAATTAGCTTGAATAAGAACAAAGTAAAAACTGAGCTATGGAGCATTCCCTGTGTTGGCACCAGCTCCAGAACAGAGATGGTCTCTCCCTGTTTAGGGTCTTTGGTAAAGAGCGATGCAGCAGAAGCCATGTGCAGTGAACAACATCAAACTTTATTAGTCCTGGAAACCCAGGAATCCATGCTACCTATTGTTGAGCACCACCGACTGGCACTTTAGCTAATCATTTACATATACACAGACATAGAGCACTCTCAGAACAAGTGGTGGATAGACTTTGTGCTGGTTCCCTATACAAGGGTGAATTTTCACCTTTTATAAAAAGGATCTTATTTGCAAATGATTGGGGAACCGTTCTTTCATTTGATTCTATGATTAACTCTGGCCGCTTTTAACAAGACCCCTGAGCCGGAACCCAGTGGAGCAGGCTGGCATGGGATTTCTTGCCTCTTCCCCAGACTAAGAAGGCAGAGGGAAAACGGTCAAGAACTACAAGAGTTAGAGGCCGGAGAAGAGACTCCGAGACCATTGGACTTTGAATTCCTTGTTTGTGGACTTTTCTGTTAACCACGAAAGGGGATAGACAGAGCAGTATCTTAGATGAAGGGCTAGGCCACATAAGATGATAGGCTGTCTTGAAGCCAGAAGGTTGGTGAAGGCATTAGACTGAAAGGACCCCTGCAGCACCATGCCTGGACACAAAGAGGTGCTTCAGAGGCAAGAGCGTGCTCTTACAGGGCCTGGCTCATGATGTCTGAATGCACGGGAAGCGCAATAGTGATGTCACTTGCTAGTACATGTCAGTTCTCAACAGTCAACACTCCAAGGGATCAGCATCCTCGGAGAACAGCTGAATAGTAACATATCCAACAAAGCCGTTAACCACCGATGGCTAAAGCCCCTCCAGACCTGGCAGTCTCCATCCAGTCCTTCACTGTTAAGTGTCTGCATCACAGCTGATACTGATGGGAATCTTAGCAGAGAGGGCAGGGTGAATGAGCCATGGACACGAACCTCCTTACAATGCAGGCCCTCCTGAAAAGATTTGAAGCAAATGAGGGAAGTAGCAGGAGGGAAGCTTTCAGTAGCACTGCCCCAGCTTTACCTGTTCGGTGCATAAAAGACAAAATTCATCCCTGTGCAGAGGGACCAGTAAAAAGCCCATGCACCACTTAAGTCCAACTTAAGCGCAACTTTGAGGGCTTAAGTGGGACATCAACCCTCTGCCCAGCCGTGAATTTTACTGAGAGGGAGAAAGTCATGCACCAGAGCTGTCAATCTAGCCTCTCGCCCTCTTGCAATATACATCGTTATTTTAAAGGACAATGCTAAACGTTGAAACCTACATGGGGGCACTGTTTAATGTAACCATATTGTTGAAGTTATGATGTGGCCAGGGAACCCGATAAAAACATCCCAGAAATAAAATCAGTGTCATGACTTGGAACCCAGCCTCAGCACAACAGGCCATGAAGCCCCCTGGGGAGCATATTGCAAAAGCAGATAGAGTAGTGATATGCATGAGTCACGTGATTAACGGGCGGTCTCGAACAATTTCTTCCAAGAGCAACATCTTGAGCCGCATAACTGGGAGCTGTTATTTCAAGAGGAAATAAAGTCGCTGTCAGAGTTTTACACGTAACTATCCACACTGTGCCATATGATAGAGTGCTGTGGAGTAACTGAGGGCAGGGAGAGTAAAGGCACAAATTGATACCAGCTTTATGGCCATGCTTAGTTGTGTGCATCCCTTAAAGGCAGACTGCATGATCCAGGCAGAGACTGCAGAATCAGAGGAGGGCCACTGGTCCAGCCCTTCTTGGTATGATGTGCCAGGAATCAGGGCTGGCAACACAGCCCGTCTCCGGGCAACCTAATGAGTGCATCCATCCAGCAGGCTGTCTGATTGGCCACACTTCCTGATTAGTTGGAAGAGGCAACAGACCAGCTATTAAGTTCAGCAGCTGCTCAAAGCTTTCGCCCAGGGCTGTGGTAGCTCCATGCTCTTGCATTGGTCCCAGCCCTGCTCCTGGTAACCCAGCTCTGACCCTCAGCTCCGATTCCTGTATTTTGACTCCAGCTCTGACATACGACTCGAGTTCTGACCCTCAGCTCTGATTCCTGGTTACCAACTCCTGCTCCAACCATTAGGCATGACTCCTGCTCCAATCATTAACCTCGTCCCAGTCCCCGACAACTGCACAGTGAAGGCAGAGACTGCAGAATCAGAGGATGACCACCTTCTTGGTCTGATGCCCTTCGAAGCATGAACCTCAGTATAGCTGGTGACTGAATGCTCCCACTGCACTATGTTCCAGGTGCAACTAAGGGTATGTCTACACTACGAAATTAGGTTGAATTTATAGAAGTCGGTTTTTTAGAAATCGGTTTTATATATTCGAGTGTGTGTGTCCCCACAGAAAATGCTCTAAGTGCATTAAGTGCATTAACTCGGCGGAGCGCTTCCACAGTACCGAGGCAAGCGTCGACTTCCGGAGCGTTGCACTGTGGGTAGCTATCCCACAGTTCCCGCAGTCTCCGCTGCCCATTGGAATTCTGGGTTGAGATCCCAATGCCTGATGGGGCTAAAACATTGTCGCGGGTGGTTCTGGGTACATATCGTCAGCCCCCCGTTCCCTCCCTCCCCCCCCCCCCGTGAAAGCAAGGGCAGACAATCATTTCGCGCCTTTTTCCTGAGTTACCTGTGCAGACGCCATACCATGGCAAGCATGGAGCCCGCTCAGCTCACTTTGGCAATTAGGAGCACATTAACCACCACACGCATTATCCAGCAGTATATGCAGCACCAGAACATGGCAACGCGATACCGGGCGAGGAGGCGACGTCAGCACGGTCCCGTGAGTGATCAGGACATGGACACAGATTTCTCTGAAAGCATGGGCCCTGACAATGCATGCATCATGGTGCTAATGGGGCAGGTTCATGCTGTGGAACGCCGATTCTGGGCTCGGGAAACAAGCACAGACTGGTGGGACCGCATAGTGTTGCAGGTCTGGGACGATTCCCAGTGGCTGCGAAACTTTCGCATGCGTAGGGGCACTTTCATGGAACTTTGTGACTTGCTTTCCCCTGCCCTGAAGCGCATGAATACCAAGATGAGAGCAGCCCTCACAGTTGAGAAGCGAGTGGCGATAGCCCTGTGGAAGCTTGCAACGCCAGACAGCTACCGGTCAGTTGGGAATCAATTTGGAGTGGGCAAATCTACTGTGGGGGCTGCTGTGATGCAAGTAGCCCACGCAATCAAAGATCTGCTGATATCAAGGGTAGTGACCCTGGGAAATGTGCAGGTCATAGTGGATGGCTTTGCTGCAATGGGATTCCCTAACTGTGGTGGGGCTATAGACGGAACCCATATCCCTATCTTGGCACCGGAGCACCAAGCCGCCGAGTACATAAACCGCAAGGGGTACTTTTCGATAGTGCTGCAAGCTCTGGTGGATCACAAGGGACGTTTCACCAACATCAACGTGGGATGGCTGGGAAAGGTGCATGATGCTCGCATCTTCAGGAACTCTGGTCTGTTTCAAAAGCTGCAGGAAGGGACTTTATTCCCAGACCAGAAAATAACTGTTGGGGATGTTGAAATGCCTATATGTATCCTTGGGGACCCAGCCTACCCCTTAATGCCATGGCTCATGAAGCCATACACAGGCAGCCTGGACAGTAGTCAGGAGCTGTTCAACTACAGGCTGAGCAAGTGCAGAATGGTGGTAGAATGTGCATTTGGACGTTTAAAGGCGCGCTGGCGCAGTTTACTGACTCGCTTAGACCTCAGCGAAACCAATATTCCCACTGTTATTACTGCTTGCTGTGTGCTCCACAATATCTGTGAGAGTAAGGGGGAGACGTTTATGGCGGGGTGGGAGGTTGAGGCAAATCGCCCAGCTGCTGGTTACGTGCAGCCAGACACCAGGGCGGTTAGAAGAGCACAGGAGGGCGCGGTACGCATCAGAGAAGCTTTGAAAACCAGTTTCATGACTGGCCAGGCTACGGTGTGAAAGTTCTGTTTGTTTCTCCTTGATGAACCCCCCCGCCCCTTGGTTCACTCTACTTCCCTGTAAGCTAACCACCCTCCCCTCCTCCCTTTAATCATTGCTTGCAGAGGCAATAAAGTCATTGCTGCTTCACAGTCATGCATTCGTTATTCATTCATCACACAAATAGGGAGATGACTACCAAGGTATCCCAGGAGGGGTGGTGGAGGAGGGAAGGAAAATGCCACACTGCACTTTAAGCACAGCACTTTAAAAGTTTACAACTTTAAAATTTATTGAATGCCAGCCTTCTTTTTTTTGGGCAATCCTCTGTGGTGGAGTGGCTGGTTGGCCGGAGGCCCCCCCACCGCGTTCTTGGGCGTCTGGGTGTGGAGACTATGGAACTTGGGGAGGAGGGCGGTTGGTTACAGAGGGGCAGCAGTGGCAGTCTGTGCTCCAGCTGCCTTTGCTGCAGCTCAACCATACACTGGAGCATACTGGTTTGGTCCTGCAGCAGCCTCAGCATTGAATCCTGCCTCCTCTCATCACGCTGCCGCCACCTTTGAGCTTCAGCCCTGTCTTCAGCCCGCCACTTACTCTCTTCAGCCCTCCACCTCTCCTCCCGGTCATTTTGTGCTTTCCTGCACTCTGACATTATTTGCCTCCACGCATTCGTCTGTGCTCTGTCAGTGTGGGAGGACAGCATGAGCTCGGAGAACATTTCATCGCGAGTGCGTTTTTTTTTTCTTTCTAAGCTTCACTAGCCTCTGGGAAGGAGAAGATCCTGTGATCATTGAAACACATGCAGCTGGTGGAGAAAAAAAAAAGGGACAGCGGTATTTAAAAAGACACATTTTATAAAACAGTCGCTACACTCTTTCAGGGTAAACCTTGCTGTTAACATTACATACATAGCACATGTGCTTTCGTTACAAGGTCGCATTTTGCCTCCTCCCACCGTGTGAACGGATTTTGGTTGAATGCCAGCAAACATACACTGCAATGCTTTGTTCTACAGTGATTCCCGAGTACGTGTTACTGGCCTGGAGTGGTAAAGTGTCCTACCATGAAGGACGAAATAAGGCTGCCCTCCCCAGAAACCTTTTGCAAAGGCTTTAGGACTACATCTAGGAGAACCGCAAATGCCAGGGCAAAGTAATCCTTTCACATGCTTGCTTTTAAACCATGTATAGCATTTTAAAAGGTACACTCACCAGAGGTCCCTTCTCCGCCTGCTGAGTCCAGGAGGCAGCCTTGGGTGGGTTCGGGGGGTACTGGCTCCAGGTCTAGGGTGAGAAACAGTTCCTGGCTGTTGGGAAAACCGGTTTCTCCGCTTGCTTGCTGTGAGCTATCTACAACCTCCTCCTCCTCATCATCTTCTTCGTCCCCAAAACCTACTTCCATATTGCCTCCATCTCCATTGAAGGAGTCAAACAACACGGCTGGGGTAGTGGTGGCTGAACCCCCTAAAATGGCATGCAGCTCATCATAGAAGCGGCATGTTTGGGGCTCTGACCCAGAGCGGCTGTTCGCCTCTCTGGTTTTCTGGTAGGCTTGCCTCAGCTCCTTCAGTTTCACGCGGCACTGCTTCGGGTCCCTGTTATGGCCTCTGTCCTTCATGCCCTGGGAGATTTTCAGAAAGGTTTTGGCATTTCGAAAACTGGAACGGAGTTCTGATAGCACGGATTCCTCTCCCCAAACAGCGATCAGATCCCGTACCTCCCGTTCGGTCCATGCTGGAGCTCTTTTGCGATTCTGGGACTCCATCATGGTCACCTGTGCTGATGAGCTCTGCATGGTCACCTGCAGCTTGCCACGCTGGCCAAACAGGAAATGAGATTCAAAAGTTCGCGGTTCTTTTCCTGTCTACCTGGCCAGTGCATCTGAGTTGAGAGTGCTGTCCAGAGCGGTCAGAATGGAGCACTCTGGGATAGCTCCCGGAGGCCAATACCATCGAATTGTGTCCACAGTACCCCAAATTCGTGCCGGCAACGTCGATTTAAGCGCTAATCCACTTGTCAGGGGTGGAGTAAGGAAATCGATTTTAAGAGCCCTGTAAGTCGAAATAAAGGGCTTCATTGTGTGGACGGGAGCAGGTTTAAATCGATTTAACGCTGCTAAATTCGACCTAAAGTCCTAGTGTAGACCAGGGCTGAGGGAAAGAAGGGAGCGTAGTGGTGAAGGAGCACTGGTATGCAGGAATGGTTCATGCCACTAATACATTGAAGAAGTTTGCAATATACATTATTGGCACACCTGGGATTCCAGCTCCAGAATTCCTGTCTTCCAGTTCAGTGCTCAGCCTCGGAGACAACCCTGCCTTTTCATCCATACCTCCCAACCTCCTAAGAACTGCATCATTTAGATCACAGTGAAAGCTGTGCCTTAGCAGTTTGCACGTTAATGGGTACTTTCCGTGTCACATCTTATTTGAGGAGTGATCATTCAGCAATGCCTTTAAGCCTAGATTGCCACTCTGTTACTTGTCAGAAATCCAATGATCTTCTGGGTGTAGGGTGACGAGACAGCAAGTGTGAAAAATCAGGTCGGGGGTGGGGGGTAATAGGAGCCTATATAAGAAAAAGACCCCAAAATTGGCACTGTCCCTATAAAATCGGGACATCTGGTCACCCTATCTGGGTGTAGCAATTTGACTTCCTTCTCAAAATTATCTGGCCACTGTCCTAATGCCTTTTCCTTCTACCGGGAAGATGATCTGAGTTTGGAATAGCAGTGCAGCATCAGCAGAAAATACATCTTTCCAGAGAAATAGGGCAAAAGCACAATCAGGACCTAAACCAAATCCCCAGCTCCGCATCACATTCCCTGGAGTTTCTTCTGCTGCAGCAATGTGATGCAATTGAAATGCATCCCGATGCACAGCGCGATTTACTAAAAGAGAATGGCTAATTCATGTTTATAGTTTACCACCCTAATTGTACCCAGGCTCTCTGCTCATTACTGCAATGCCATAAAAATATGGTGCCTGTTTTCAATTTCAAGGAATCATCATTTGCTTAGACTTTAATGTTGACTAATATTAATTGGCAAAATTAAATCATTCCATCCGGAATGGAGATAAGTGATTCCCATTATTTAGTCAGGACCAAACCAACTGGTTGGCACTTTGTGCACAGACGTTGCAACAATGGGGGTCTTTCTGGCGAGACCACTGTGAACATTTTATAATATTTACTGGTAATTCACACACAGGAAAACATCAGAAGCCTTCCTATGAAATACCCACCTAACGTGACTTATTTGATCTTGAAAAAGCCATTGTGCAGATCAAAAAGCACATGAGCAAGTGGGTCACAAGTAAAATGGCATGAAATGTTATAAAGCCTTTTATCCTAAAGCGGTTTACAAACCATGTCTCTGTAACATAGGACAGGCTGCTGAAAAGCAGGCACCGCTGGGATGGAAAAGGGTGGCCATGTAAAATTACACAGAAACACCATGCAGCAATTTAGTATGGGAAGGGAAAAACAGCATATCCATTTGAAATGGCAAGGGCAGATTTACATTGGCACAACTGAGCCTGGACAGAGGATAACGCTTCTATCCTTAAACTGTCTGGGTTAGGACTGTGACAGTCTCCTGCTAGGCAGGATTTTTGCAAGTGCTAAATTGGCTTTAGAGAAGATGGAGAAACTTGAGGGGCATCTCTGAGTCCTGCCCAGGTACTTTTCCCCCAGCTGTTAGCAGCATGCAGAGAAATCACTGCAGACATTTTCCAGTAAAATACACTGAACATACCCTGCTAAGTCACCAGCAACCTCTGGGTATCATTGACTCTGGATTTACCTAAGTCATCCGCAACATAAAAGAAGACAAAGCACGGATTTATTACTGCAGCCTTCCAGGTTGCAATGTGCAGACGTTCTAAACCAGATGTTCTTTGGGCCTGGAAGAGCAGTAGAGAAAGAGTGCCTACAGCTGCAGCTTACTCAACTAGCTCAGAAAAGGGCAAACGTGACAGTCAAGTGCCTGGTTCACTAAAACTTTACTCTCGGACTTGTGTCGGGTGGGGGGGCGAAAGGACAGGCACTTGTTGGATGTTGCTTGACAGACACTTCACATTCCCTAGGGATTTAAATGATGTGCAGTGTGTGACTGACATCGGAGGAGGTCACATCCCTTTATGCTGGACAGCTCAGTGGAGGGGGAAGGTGTTGCGGCATCAGAAGAAATGTGTCCGACCGAAACTGCGCCTTTGGAAAGTTACCATTTACAGCTGATGTAAATTGCTGCACAGAGAGGGGGCCATTTTCCCTGCACAAGAAGTATTGGTCCTACACAATCCAGCAACTATGCTACTATGCTTGAATGCCATCTGCTGGCACTATATTTATTAACTATTTACAGCTCTATATAGACCTCTCTTGTAACTATTAGTGGGCCAGATCTGCGCCCCCACTGTGGTCAATTTATGGCACAAAGCAATTGTAAAGGTGGCTGAAGTGGGTTCCTGAGGATTCCCGCAGCACAAGGGAAGCCCAGGTGGTGCAGAACTCATACAGTGGGCTCTTTTGCCAGCCTCCAGTGCAGGGGGCATGCCCAGGGAATTGCTATGTCTAGTCAGTCCTCCAGCTGCTGGTACCAGTTTGCAGCTGGATACAAAAGGCCCAGCATGCTTCAGCAGGGAACACAGCATCCATACTGTCATCTGAAATGAGAATTTGTCTTCACCTTAAGCCTAGATTTCAACACCTCACTTATACCCCCACCATCTAGATTCCCAGTTAGGAAAATATTTCTGACCCTTTCTTCCTTTTGCCACCACTCTTCTTCAAGCACAATCTGTCATCCACAGAAACATACCTAATCTTTGCTATTTGTAAAAAATGATCTCTTCTGTAAGAGATCCCTGACCAACGACTTTAGCTATGCATCACAGTTGCCAGGTGTTTAAATCAAAAAGACCTCTGATCAATAACAAACCCTTCTGTTTTTGAGGCCCCATTTCACTTGCTATGCTGAATGTTATGTTTATCAATATGCAGGACTTCTCATACACTTCACTGCTGGGTTTTTTAAGCTACTAGTTAACAGCTGTCTTCCAACTAAAGACAAGACAGAACAGCATATAGTGAAAATCTGTGGCCATCGACACCCTCATGTGACACACCATGGTCATTTGGAATTTCCTGTTGATAGTAAGAATAGAACACAGATCCTACAGATTCAGAACACAGTTAAAGGAGAATCTCTGATAGGAGTATGTGGCCTATGTCACAGGAACAGTTTTAATTCCAGCCAGCAGAGGGTATGTCACTTCTGATCTGACAGAGAGCAGAGCTGGATAAAAATGAAGGGAAAAGTAAGTTTCTTTTTAACTTTAATAACAGGTTTGATTCATACTGTGGTTTAGATGAAGGCTCATGACATTCTTCTTTTTTTTTTCTTGCCCCCCCCTTAACCTACTCAACCATTCTCAGGCTGGAGACATTTTTTTCCCTCTCTTCCTTTGGTTCAGGTCACCCAGTAGCATGTCACCTGTCGGGCCCACCTTTGTTTACTGCCATCATGGAAAGAGGTCTCATAGACTCATAGAATATCAGGGTTGGAAGGGACCTCAGGAGATCATCTAGTCCAACCCCCTGCTCAAAGCAGGACCAATCCCCAATTTTTGGCCCAGATCCCTAAATGACCCCCTCAAGGATTGAACTCACAACCCTGGGTTTAAGCAGGCCAATACTCAAACCACTGAGCTATCCCTCCCCCCAGGTCACTGTGTGCTCTGCTAGTCTAGGGTTGGTGCCGGATACAACTGGACTAGCCCTCCCTCCACCCAAAACTTCAGCCTTGAAAAACATTTGGTTCAATTTCTATCAAAGTATTTGCATTTTCTTCCATGTCAAAAAATGTTTTTCACTTTGGTACAAATTGTACCTTTCTCTGACAACCACCACAATTCCACCCAACACGATGTAACACAGCACCCCCTGCTGCGAGCCCCTGGATACCATAGGATATTTATGCTGCATCCATTACTATGTCGTCAGGAGCTCATCAAAACTTCATTCCAATTCATGAACTTCTGAGACTTGACACATCACCAGGACAAACTCAGAGGATACATCCATCAGAAAGATAAAATTTGAAAGGGCATCAGAACTTAGTAAAAATCTGCCATTAAACTTCAATGAAATAAGGATGAGGCTCTAATTTTGCATTGTTGTAATAAACAATTTACTCTCCTGGTTTCCCCAGGAGCTAGCCAGCGGCTCAACAATTCCCCGAAACATACATGGAGCACCAATCTGATACCCAGAGGGATCAAAACCTCACGGATCATTGAATACATCTCTCCACACTGCTTGATATCGCTCTCACTTCAGATTTTCATGAAACTAACAAGCCAGCTTGTGGATAAATGTAGCCTTAGCAGCCATCTGCAAATTAGCAAGACTGCTGCAATCAGCTTTTGAAATCAAGCCCATTTATTATATACACACACTCACAAGTCATGTTTTCATGAGAGATCAAATGAAAAAACTTATCATGAAAGATTAATCACTGAGTAATGAGCATAGGAAACCCAAGGCATTCAGTACCAAAGAGTACCTTTCCAGTCATGCTCTGCTGTGATCTTTCCCAAACTGATCCAAGCCAATTTTTTGCTGATTTTACTAATTGTTGCTAAGGAGCTGTCACAAAAAGTTTACTCAGATACTCTTGCA